AAACAACTGAATTCCTTTACTTTAGTTTAGCGTGGAAACAACTGAATTCCTTTACCTTAGTTTAGCGTGGAAACAACTGAATTCCTTTACCTTAGTTTAGCGTGGAAACAACTGATTCCTTTACCTTAGTTTAGCGTGGAAACAATTCTGAATTCCTTTACTTTAGTTTAGCGTGGAGACAACTGAATTCCTTTACCTTAGTTTAGCGTGGATATGATGAACAGTTGTTATTAATTCTAACAATCTGACGCAGTATGATGTTTAGTGCAGAGTTAACCTCTAACTTTATGATTTTACAGAAACTGAATGATTTTTATTATATTTTAAATATTTTAAATACTGAAAAATACGTAGAATTTCGAAGTTTCACATCATATAGTGTACGGAAGTTTATTTGTATTCTGTGTAGGGAAAATGTAAACCTAACTTTTTCTAAACAAAAATCAAAAGTTAAAAAAAAAATTTCTCCCGATATTAGCTGGGAACTCTTAATCCTGCTTGATCTCCATATCCACTGTGGGTACTTTAAATTTTCATTTTAGTTATTCCTCACCTGATGCTTCCTAAATCCCTTACGAGGTATAAAAGATTACCAATGGGGATATCATATAAGATTTAATTGATCTGCAGATTAACAAAAGATCGAGAACATTGATCTCGATATATGGATAAAGCATTGATCTCCATGTAGTCCAGATAAACGGACTAATTCAATTCCTTTTTGATTTCTCGTGAGTCGTAATATTAAAAGGGATAAAGCAGTGAAATTTTAGATTAAAAATTTCGCGCAAATTCAAAAGTTTTAACTTATGATTATTTATATTCAAGAAATACAGGGTGTCCCACGAAACATGACAGTTGGTGAATAGCTTAAAATGTCTTTATCCATTATTTGTTCAGCTGTTTGATACCAAAGACCACTGAAAATATTATACGGGAGTCATGTTACATTAAAATTGATTTCAAAGTAAAGTATGATTAGGCAAAAGATTTGTTTAACTAAAAATAACTATTTCTTAAATGTCATGTTTCGTGGGACACCCTGTACTCCCCATGGTTCCATTTTAAAACGTAATTGTCGTCTTAGTTTTCACTTTTAAAGGGACTGTACGATTTTTTAAAGTAAACAACCATGTAAAGATGGCAAAGTCCGATTTACAATGGTACCATTGAAACCTTAATCTGATCAAAAATATGAAAGATAGCTTAGTTTTCTAACTCGTAAAGTGCGCACAGAAACCGGAAATGAAAATACACAGTTTGTAGATACAAACACAAGAACATCAAGTTCATACTTGGTCAGACAAAGCTTTTAAGGGTATCGTTGTAAATCGGGAATTGTCAACTTTGCATGGAGAGTTACTTGAAAATACGCCTACAGCCCCTTTAATTATAAATTTCCAATAAGGATTTGTACTTTGTAAATATCTAAAAATGTTCTGGACGTGATTTTTAGAAAAAAAAATAGATATAGATATAGATATTTCATGATAAAAAGATAGTAGACGACAATAACTGTTTTCTTGTTACCACCACGTAACATTCTCGCCATGGGCATGGATAACTTATTCAGTTTAAAAACCAATTCGTGTTACCTACTCAAAATGCTCCAAAATCTGAACAATCCCTGTATTAAAATTTGCCTTCAATTTGGTTTAAAACGAATACGTAGAATAAAAGGGTTTCTTGTTTTATTATCAATAAATATTAAATATTGAAGAAAAAAACATTTAGGCATGGTAGGCAGGGGCTGGGGCATAAGCTGGTGCAGGAGCATAAGGTTTGGCCTCAGGATAGACTGGGACACCCTCATAGGTAACATCAGCAACATATCCGTTGTAGTGATCAGCGGTATACTTGACATGCTGGGTTCTGCCATCAGGAAGAGCAACAGAGTATTCTCCAACAACAGCACCATTAGCATCAGCAGTCTCAGCAGCATTGAAGGCAGCCTTAGAGTAATCATCAGCTACTCCATAGGTATAAGAGTAGGGTTCAGGGGTCTCCTTCTCCTCGTGGTAGGGAGCAGGGGCGTGGTAGGGAGCAGGGGCAGGGGCGTGATAGGGAGCAGGGGCGGGGGCGTATGCTGGGGCGGGGGCGTATGCTGGGGTGGGAGCGTATGCTGGAGCGGGAGCGTATGCTGGAGCTGGGGCGTATGCTGGAGCATGGTGGACGGGAACATGGTGGACGGGAGCATGGGCTACATGATGAACAGGAGCATGATGAACAGCATGGGGGTGAGCGTGAGCTCCACCATCAGGAGTGGCACAAGCCAGACCAACTAGAGCTGAGATAACAAAAGCCTGAACAAATAAAATAATGATTTCAAATTAGGTTTTCTACGGCGCGGCGTAATCCTAAAACTCTGGAATAGGAGGACGACTTTTAAACTCAAGTTATGAAACATTTCAATTGTGCAATGGAAACAGACCCATTTCATTGAATAGTAAAACCTTTTGCTTTGCAAACATCAAATAAACTTAGTTTTTGCTTTAATGCCGTCCTTCTGTTCCACAATGTTCTGATTTTCACCATATTAGAAATAAATACTAATATTAGATGAGGTGTTACCTTCATAATATTGTAAGAATGAATGTTGACTATTGATGAAAGTTTGCTCTATATATACCTATCCCGTGTATTCACCTTTAAAACTAACACGGCGCATAAAGAGGCGCCCCCGGCGTCAAGTAGTAGAGCCGGCGCTTGGACAGCTAGACTTTTGACGCAGTGAGTGGTTTTGCAGCTTTCAGGCTTTCAGCTAGTTTTTAAAATAAATACAAACTATTTATCAAATTGTAATAGGTCCGCTAGAAGATGCACAAAATCATTTTTCTTAATCAGAAGTGCAAGTTTGTGCAATATGGCTTAATATATGGTTTGCACAAAAAAAGGTTGCAGTCATATCTTAGGCATTAACGATTTATCTTTAATCAGAAATCAAAATTGGCAATACTTGCACTGGTACTTGAGAATCTTTACATAAAATTGGCGTGTCTGTTTGCTTGCCTGTCTGTCTGTATCCAATGAACGGCAAACCTAATTTATCAATGGCATCTCAAATGCACCCAGGAAAGGTTTATGTCAAAGAGGAAAAATATCGACATTTGTTCTTTATGAAAAATGAAAATGCACCAATTTTAACAAACAAAAATTTCAAAGCATTAGTAAAAAGCTAAATTTGTTAATAGGAAAGGGGCGCAAAGCGCTCTATAAAAGCCTTGCATATATTGAAACCATTTATATTAAATTCGCAAATGCGCAAAGGTTAGCACAGATAACACCTAATCTATATTCGTTGCAAAACTGCGCAATCCACACCAAAGGTCATCCAACCCACAAGAAAATTTGCAGGAAATAAAAAAAATTTGGAAAGTGCCATAATCAAACTAAAGACTGACATGGAAAACTGCACAAAATTGAAGAATGATGGACAACTGCACAAAATTGAATAATGATGGACAACTGCACAAACTGAAGACTGATGGACAACTGCACAAAATTGAAGAATGATGGACAACTGCACAAATTGAAGACTGATGGATAACTGCACAAAATTTAAGAATGATGGAGAACTGCACAAAATTGAAGAATGATGAAAACTACACAAATTGAAGAATGATGGACAACTGCACAAATTGAAGAATGATGGACAACTGTACAAATTGAAGAATGATGGACAACTGCACAAATTGAAGACTGATGGACAACTGCACAAAATTGAAGAATGTCGGACAATTTTACAAACTGAAGACTGATGGACAACTGAACAAATTGAAGACTGATGGACAACTGCACAAATTAAAGAATGATGGACAACTACACAAAATTGAAGAATGATGGACAACTGCACAAATTGAAGAATGATGGACAGCTGCACAAATTGAAGAATGATGGACAACTGCACAAAATTGAAGAATGATGGATAACTGCACAAAATTGAAGAATGATGGAAAACTGCACAAAATTGAAGAATGATGGGCAACTGCACAAATTGAAGAATGATGGACAACTGCACAAAATTGAAGAATGATAGACAACTACACAAATTGAAGAATGATGGACAACTGCACAAATTGAAGACTGATGGACAACCGAACAAATTGAAGAATGATGGACAACTGCACAAAATTGAAGAATGATGGAACAATTGCACAAATTGAAGAATGATGGACAACTACACAAAATTGAAGAATGATGGACAACTGCACAAATTGAAGAATGATGGACAACTGCACAAATTGAAGACTCATGGACAACTGCACAAAATTGAAGAATGTCGGACAATTGCACAAACTGAAGACTGATGGACAACTGCACAAATTGAAGAATGATGGACAACTACACAAAATTGAAGAATGATGGACAACAGCACAAATTGAAGAATGATGGACAACTGCACAAATTGAAGAATGATGAACAACTGCACAAAATTGAAGACTGATGGACAACTGCACAAAATTGTAGAATGTCGAACAGTTGCACAAATTGAAGAATGATGGGCAACTGCACAAATTGAAGAATGATGGACAGCTGCACAAATTGAAGAATGATGAACAACTGGACAAAGTTAAAGAATGATGGACACCTGCACAAAACTGTAAAATGATGGACAACTGCACAAATTGAAGAATGATGGACAACTGCACAAATTGAAGAATGATGGACAACTATACAAATTGAAGAATGATGTACAACTGCACAAATTGAAGAATGATGAACAACTGCAAAAAGTAAAGATAAGTACTAATTTAGTGGAAAATATCTCGTTAAAATCACATCCAAATTATAACCACCTATAGTAAGCCATAATCCTTAAAATATAGAGAGTGTGCACATTAGATACGAAGGGCCAATATTAATATTGAAATTGATTTAAAGTTAATTAGAAAAGTTTGTCCTCCTAGGTTTCCTCTAATATATAATATAGGAGAATATTACAAAAACTTTTTAACTTACAATCTCTAAGTATACAAACTAATCAGGGAGAGAGCTATGTTGGGAGATTGCAACCTTTAACATCAAGATAGAAAAAACTAAAACTTTCTCAAGATCTCAAAAAATCAAGTTTTAGTTTTAATCTAAAATGCTAAATATACAACAACAGAAAAATGAATTTGCAAGAAATATTAAAATTGCACCCTTCCTAATCTTGAAATGGATAAAATACAGAAACTGGTCGCTTCTATTCTAGCAATTATAGTCTTGTATATGAACAGCATCAATTATACATATTGCAGTACATAAATACATAAATACATTAATACATAAATACANAGTTTTGAGAATTTCAATAAAAAATCTCAAACATAACAGTTTCACCCAGACTGTGAAAGTGAACATATGTTTTTTTCTTGCATTGGATATGTTTTGTAATTAGATTCGTAAACTATTTTTTCTATATCTAAGAGATTTAAGGTTTGATATGCTTTGTATTTGATATGTTTTGTAACTTGATACGTTTTGCACTTTAATTTGTTTGTGGATATGTTTGTATCTTTATATGTTTTGTATCTTGATAGGTTTTGTATCTTGATATGTTTTGTATCTTGATATGTTTTGTATCTTGATATGTTTTGTATCTTGATATGTTTTGTATCTTGATATGTTTTGTATTTTGATATATTTAGCATCTTCATATGTTTTGTGGCGATTTGTTTTGTTTTAATATGTTTTGATTTGATAGGTTTTGTTTTCATATGTTTTGTTTGGATATGTTAATTGAGTGATGATATGTTTTGTACATATATGTTCTCAAGGATTTATGAAATAGGAACGAAATAATGCAAAAAAAACTTTAGATATAAAAATCGACGATATCCGCAGCATTTTTCTTCAGACAAAATTTCCAAGGGTACCGTCGTGTATTATACATGCGATTTTAGTGTATAAGTGCAGAGTCAATGAATAAACGTAAACAGTCCCTTTAATCATATTCCGTTACAAAGTTTAACCAGGGTATTCGTGTGAAGATGTTAATAGACAAGTTAAAACCAGTAGTTCGAGTTTTTCCGGTCTTTAGTTCCTTATTCAGATATAATACTTTATATACGCTTTACATACGCTTTATATACGCATTATATACGCATTACATACGCTTTATATACACTTCATATACACTTTATATACGCTTTAAATACGCTTTATATACGCATTATTTACGCTTTATATACACTTCATATTCGCTTTATATACGCGTTATATACGCTTTATATACGCTTTACATACGCTTTATATACACTTTATATACGCTTTATATATATACTTTACATACACTTTACATACGCTTTATATACGCATTATATACGCATTACATACGCTTTATATACGCTTCATACACGCGTTATATACGTTTTATTTACGCTTTATACGCTTTATATACGTTTTATTTATGCTTTTTACACGTTTTTATATGCTTTATATTCGCTTTATGTACGCTTTATATACGCTTTATATACGCTTTATATACGCTTTATATACGCTTTATATACGCTTCATATACGCTTTATATACGCTTTATATACACTTTAATGCAACATTTAAGCATAATACTATATGCGTAATTCATAAGAACATTAAATGCACGCAAATGTTGTTCTACAAAAGTAGAGAAATATTTCTGGAATTCAGATTTTGTCACAAACTCAAATTTGTAAATCTCAATATCTTTGCAACATGATATCCTATGAATTCTGTTAGATCACATAATCTAAGTTTGAAATATCTAAAAAAAGTTCACCACTACACATAACATCACATCACATCATTTATATTATATAACTTCTATCACACTCCACGAGATAGAAGTTTTTGCGATATTATTGGCTTGACTTTGTGCCCTTGTAGCTCTTCTATAATAGTTTAAATTTAGTAAGAGGATTGAAAAATTAGTTGGTTAGATTACATTCTCCTTATCTAAAACATGTTTATTCTTCTCAAGAAAACCTCTCTATCTATCTATCTATCTATCTATCTATCTATCTATCTATCTATCTATCTATCTATCTATCTATCTATCTATCTATCTATCTATCTATCTATCTAAAGTCCTGAGTGGTCTTCTGAAGACTATTAGTCCTCCGTCCTCTTTTTCTCCCCCACCCCTCTTTTCCTCATGTAATCTCCCCTTGGCTTTCATGGGGTTGCGGGAAGACATTCCCACGGTACATTCCAGTCCATTTCGTGTACCGGGCAGAATTTCAACTAGACAGGGCAAGCAGTACAGTACAAATACAGACTATATGAGGCAAAACGGGACTGTACGCCAAATGAATGATCCCCTTCTAGTGAGATTTTGTGTTCCAAACACTTCATAATGCATATAGAAGGGAGGGCGATTTTAGATGAAAGGAAAAAGTAAGATAAACTTAATTTAAAAATAGATGGCGCAAAGCGGCAAGAAAACTTTTTAACACCTTTTTCAGGGGGACGCCCCTTTGCAAGTAGGTGCAAGATCATTTTTTACTTATCACACTTGATTTCAACCTTTGCTTGTAAATCCCAAAGGGGGGTAGGGTCTCCCTGGGATGCCCAAGGGGGGGCAAGAGGACTACTGCCCCCCCTGTATACGCCCGTGATGAGATTGCAAAGATAACTTGAAACTCTTCACATAAATCCATGCTGCCATGGACATTTTCAAGACTGGATTAACTTTGAAGTGCCGCAACACCTTGCCTTTGATTTTACTTTGTTAAACGATAAAGAACTTGTTTTAGATTAAATTTATTAGAAAAGCTTGGCAAAATTCTCAACGAATTTTAAGTAAGAGCTTGCAACCTTTGACTATCTCAAGTTTAAATTAAGTCTCCTGCCTTGAATGTCACAATGTGGTCTTAAAATGGCTTATTTAATGATTTTTTATTAAAAAAATTTACAGTTGCAGTTATGCAGTCAATTTTCTTTTTCTGAAGATATCTTCATATTGATCATCAGTTTTCTAGTAAATATCTTCCTTTTGATCATTTTCTAGTAGATTCCTTCATATTGTTCAGTATTCTAGTAGATTCCTTCATATTGTTCAGTATTCTAGTAGATTCCTTCATAGTGTTCAGTATTCTAGTAGATTCCTTCATAGTGTTCAGTATTCTAAGAGGTACCTCGATTTTCTGGTATAAATGATTAACGACTAAGCTTTTGTGACCAGAGAAGTGAAATTTATGGCGTAAACATAAAACATGATAAAATAAATAAAACAGATAAAATATTGGCGCTGTATAGGATCAATTCTACCAACATTACATTGAATCTAAAAGGGAGTGTAGTCGTAATTTTGAAGCACCCCTGACCCTTTAGTAAAAGTAAATTCAACCTAAAGTCTGACCGCGTCAACCTTGTTGCACCAGCTTTAGTCCTATTAAGTGCATGGTCTGTTTTATTTACCCAATGTCCGGGCGATACAGTACAAACTGGGAACGGAAAGGTTGACCCGGCTCGGAAATTCAAATATACTACGGCTGCCCGTGTTTTAAGTGACACTCCATTAATTTGTCCAATTCACAATGGTACCTTTAAAACCTTTGTCTGATCAAGTCTAAATAAGATTTCCATGTATTTTTAAAAAACTGATTCTTTTTTTTTGTTGATTTTCTATAAAAGTGGCTTGAGCATTTCTTGATAATGAAACAATGGAGAAATTAGCAAAATTAAACACTTTTCAATCTAGAAAAATGACGTTATGAGATTAAGGTCTCAAGAGTATTGTTGTGAATTGGCATTCCTCTCTTTAAATGGAGGATCACTAAAAAACCTGGTTAAGAAACTCTATACAATTTTTTACAGTTATATCTACCAAATAAATGAATAAATGTAAAGTTTATAAATCCACCAAATATATAAGCTCGGAAATTCAAATATACTACGGCTGCCCGTGTTTTAAGTGACACTCCATTAATTTGTCCAATTCACAATGGTACCTTTAAAACCTTTGTCTGGTCAATTCTAAATAAGATTTCCATGTATTTTTAAAAACTGATTCTTTTTTGTTGGTTTTCTATAAAAGTGGCTTGAGAAACAATGAAGAAATTAACAAAATTAAACACTTTTCAATCTAGAAAAATGACATTATAAGATTAAGGTTTCAAGAGTATTGTTGTGAATTGGCATTCCTCTCTTTAAATGGAGGGTAACTAAAAACGACCTGGTTAAGAAAAAGGAATGTAAAAAGGATAAAAGTTTTTAACTCCATACAAGTTTTTTTTACATTTATATCTACCAAATATATGAATAAATGTAAAGTTTATATATCTACCAAATATATGAATAAATGTAAAGTCTATATATCTACCAAATATAAATGAATAAATGTAAAGTCTACATATCTACCAGATATATGAATAAATGTAAATTTATATATCTACCAAATATATGAATAAATGTAAAATATATATATCTACCAAATATATGAATAAATGTAAAGTTTATATATCTACCAAATATATGACTAAATGTAAACGTACAATCGTTTCTCATCCTTTGTGGGTAACCCTGTATAAAGCACTCAACCTTTACCAAAGGGTATAAATCTTGTGAACAATAAAGACGACATTTAATTCTGTAGTCCCATGTGGGGGGGGAAAATTAGAAAGGATAGTAAATCATTTATTTAAGGCTTATTTTTTTCCTTCAATACCGTATTCCGTATTGATTTTATTAACGAGAGTTTATTGCTTAAAATAGTTACTTTTCGTCAATTTATAATAAAAGTTTTTTAAAGCAGTCTTTGGCGGAGCTCGAACAATCTTTCGCAGGTCTTGAACAGGGTTTTGCAGGGATCGGGCAGGGTTCTTCTAACTTTTGGGTTCAAACAAGATTTTGCGGGGCTCATGGCCGAATGGTCTACCCTCCCTCGGGTCACTCATGGGTAAGATTATAAGCACATCTCGCAAAAACTGTATTCTACGCTCTGCAGACTGCAGTACACTTTTTGTTAACAAAGAGGGGCTTCCTGGTCTAAATTTCTTAATTAAAATTGAACAGAACAGATGCAGTGATAGTTAAAATCAGACCATGTTCTTAGAATAATTGAGATCCGAGATTTCTAAATTTCTGAAAGTTTTGTAAATGTCGTCTTCATAAAAATTATTTTCTCGGAAATTAATAAATTGATATATATATATTTCTTCATATATAAAGTTTACATAAACAAAACTATATTGGAAGTGTAAAGGGACTGTGTAGGAATTCTAAGTGACTTTCCAGTTAATGGGAACATGACCGATTCACAACGGAACCCTTTAAATCTTATTCTGTTTAAGTGTATCATTGTTTTTATCTCTTAAAGAATGTTAAATTCTACCAGTTTACCCCAGTTGTGTCGGTTGTAGAAATCCGCAAGTGACTACTATTGAGGAACCACAAAAGAAAATAATTAATATGGATATCTCAATCATACTTGATCTATACAACATACAAGGCTGTTAAGGGCACCGTTGAGGATTAAACATCCCGTTCTATAAATGTGAAATCAGTTGAAATTACGTCTACAGTCCCTTTAAAGGAAGATCTTGAGTTTACATGAAGGATGGAGCAGTGGAGCTATCTCTTCAGTCCGAATGGAGTCCGTAGGTTTGATCTGTCCCTCATATCTCCAATATTTGTTGAGCCTGGTTCACCGTACATTCTTCGACCAACTTAACAGAAGAAACATTTTTATTGGAATTCATAGTTTTCACAGATATAGCGGGAACCATAAAACGGTGAAAAAAGGAAGACGACTTTTATACTCAAGACATGCTTTTGATTAGTCCAATCAACATAAATCCCTGCAATTCTTATGTTTATACAAACTCATTTCAGTTAATTTTTAACCTACCACGGTAAAAGTATTTGCTTCATGACAATATCAAAGATTGCTAAAATATCGTCTTCCTATTCTACAGTGTTAAGGATAATGGATAATTGTCCGAGTAATATTAGGCGATATTTAACAATAATTTATACAGTTGACGCCGTTAAATATCGTCTTCCTATTCTACAGTGTTAAGGGTACCATTATGGATAATTGTCCGAGTAATATTAGGCGATATTTAACAATAATTTATACAGTTGACGCCGTTCAAATTTTCTGAAATATTGACCGGTAACGCCGTTCAAATAATGATATAATTTTAAGAAAAATTTTTTAGTAAACAAACGGCCACCTGAAAAGTTGGTCCGTTATGTGATTTAACAAACCGTTGACGAACGGTTAAAAAAATCTAAAATACGCAGTCCTATCTGCGTAGAGATTTTCTCAAATGCATTTTCTCCGGGGAAATTGCCGCTTGGGAAAAAGCTTTGGGAAAGTACCTAACATTGCCCTATCTTTGCACTCAAGTGAAAGTGTTTTTTTTCACAAAATAATGTTCGCCAAATTTAAGTAATCTCAGTCTAATCGATGTATCTATGTAAAGTTGACCAAAGAAAATCTTCTAGGTTACCTTGTATGGCATCAGGTAAATTATACCATACTAGGTTGTTTAGGTAAAGTTGACCGGAGATAATCTACTAAATTATACCTAGGTTAGATCTACTGGGTTGTCTAGGTAAAGTTGACCGAAGATAATCTACAGCAGCTTCCACGCTTGTTATGTCAGTACTGCAGGGACTAGTCGGATTTCTAAATATATCGATTTAAAGATTAAACAACTGACCCATTGCAAGTCGTTCTCAAAATTTTTGCATTTTGATGAAGCTCTCTATACTCCAACTTTCCCATTCATATGATTAATGATACTGTATTTTTAAAAATTACCCATTCCCCCCCCCCCACCAGGGAAAATAAAAAAATTGCACATGAAAGGCAGGTTTTATAATCTTTTTCATACTTTTTCAAAAATAACTTTATTTACCTGAGTGAGTGGGTTCTGTTAACACTAGGCCTGGTATTGGATCCTGATCCTGGGCTAGGGATAAAATGAGCTGGAAGCCGGGTGACAGATGAGGTTCGACCAACTGGTAAAACCTGCAAGGAAAAGGTCACTAAATTCTTTTCCAAATGGGAATTTTGTTAAGTTAACAGTCTGAATAAACTAAAGATTTTCCAGAATAGAATAGAAAATATTTGACAATAAAAAGATTTTAAAAGAATTTTGCAACTTTTTCGCACACAACTAAATTTGTCATGCAAAATACCACAAATGGACCTCATACCATTTTGATTTAAAATACCCAGCAAATATAGGATTAAAATACCCAGCAAATTCAGGATTAAAATACCCAGCAAATTCAGGATTAACATACCCAGCAAATTCAGGATTAAAATACCCAGCAAATTTAGGATTAAAATACCCAGCAAATTTAGGATTATAATACAAGCAAATTCAAGATTAAAATACCCAGCAAATTCAGGATTAAAATACCCAGCAAATTCAGGATTAAAATACCCAGCAAATTCAGGATTAAAATGCATTCTTGGAAAATGAATTAACATCAAACAATTACAATTGAAGTCAGTGAAATTTAGGAGATAATTGAAAATATATTTCTTTTTAAACATGTCATAATTTGATAACTAACCTCATGAGGTTCTCTGAGTTTAAGTTTATTACTCCTAGGTATAGATCCAGTACTGAGGGGGGAACTCGGAGCGGATTCAAACCTAGTCCTAAAAAAACCTAGTCTTGTCATTTGTAAAATGTGATCTGAATTTCTTTTGCTTTTGAAAATTGTTATTTATTAAATAAAACCATGAAAATGTTTAATACTGAACGAAACTATACAGGGTGTCCCAATAAACATGGGAATTCAGTGACGAATTCGATATCGTCTTTTCAAATAATTCTTTGATTTAGTAAAGTGATATCTACTGAGAAAGCTGTAATCTGTACGAGTTTCGTCTGCTATGTTCACATTTTGTTTGTTTATGTTTTGACTGTATACGGTTGTACTTAGTAAAACAAGAAAATTGCAGTATACAAACAGTGTAAACTTATCCGTCTTCACTGTTCATCTTGCGAATACATTATTGACACATCTTTACAGCCATTTACAGTTTGATAAATTAAACTCTAGCAGACATAATTATATTATGGTATTACAATGCTAATTCATAACAAAGACGATATCAAATTCGTCACTGAATTCCCATGTTTTTTGGGACACCCTGTAATTATAAAAGCACAGTAAAGACAGACCACATTTTAGAAATGTCAGGACAACGGCTATTTTGTGATCATTATTTCATAAGATAATTTTGCTAACTGAATGCCGCAAACTATTTTAAGGTCAAAGACGACTTCAAGTCTTCAATCTTAATTAATAAATAATTCCGGTTTATTTATGTAGTTGAACTAGTTATTTGAGAAAGAGAAATAGTTTGACTTCCAGTACCTAGTTCAATCATTTCTCAATAATCAATAATCATACCACTCAGTACTACTTTAAAGATTTAACATTAAACTTTTAGGGTTTACTTTTACACTGTGAGTGTGCTCGAAGGTTTGCAGCTTAGAAAATTATTAAACAATAAAACAATGAGAAAGAAAAAAATTTAAATATCTTTTTCAGCGTTTCTTGTCTTATCTATAATATTTCGAATATTTTCTTTCTTAATTCCAAAAAAATATGATTAAAGAATTGAACTATAAAACTAGTTTAAGAATTTCAAGTGACCCAAACGGTACTCTTTAACTTTTTCTGAAAACAAAATGATTGCTAACATCGAAATATCAAAGGTTTCCATCATCAGATGCAAAGATATAGGGATTTAAACTAGTAGTTACCTGAAGGAGGAAACTTTGCCTGTAACTACAGGGGATGGAGATCTCTTCTTTAAACTTGGTCTGGTTCCTGTCCCAGTTCTTCCTCTAGAAACATTTAATTCTTTTGTTTTCATTAATCGCATGCAGTCAGACCCATAAAACAAGCAATATTTTGTGTACAGTCGTCGTCGTATATACAGTGATAACCCTAGACAACTCTGAAATAGGAATACGACTTTATAGCAATACTTATGTGTATTTTATGGTGTTACAATGCAAATAGTTTTACTATATACGATACTATACACCCAAGGGGGAACCCTTGGGTGTGTTCACATTATTATTGGACTATTTTAAATCAAAACTTTAAACTAAAGATCATCTTTCTATTCCAAAATTGTATAGGTCTCACTGTAAGTAATATATATTCTTCATTATTTACAGCACAAACAATCATAAACAAAAATTATCAAGATTTTTGAAAATTTCAGAAATCCCGTGATTTTGCTACAGAAACAGAGACAATTAAAGGGATTTAAAGATAGAAAAACTTAAAGAGCGTTCTAGATGGGTATATTTAAAAGGACTCCTAGCTGAGGGTATTTAAAGGGACTCCTAGCTGAGGATATTTAAAAGGACTCCTAGCTGAGGATATTTAAAAGGACTCCTAGCTGAGGGTATTTAAAGGGACTCCTAGCTAAGGGTATTTAAAGGCACTCCTAGCTAAGGGTATTTAAAGGCACTCCTAGCTGAGGATAGTCAAAGGGACTCCTAGCTGAGAGTGTTGAAAGGGACTCCTGGCTAAGGTATTTAATGGGACTCCTAGCTGAGGGTATTTAAAGGGACTCCTAGCTGAGGGTATTTAAAGGGACTCCTAGCTAAGGGTATTTAAAGGCACTCCTAGCTGAGGATAGTCAAAGGGACTCCTAGCTGAGAGTGTTGAAAGGGACTCCTGGCTAAGGTATTTAATGGGACTCCTAGCTGAGGGTATTTAAAGGGACTCCTAGCTGAGGGTATTTAAAGGGACTCCTAGCTGAGGGTATTTAAAGGGACTCCTAGCTGAGGGTATTTAAAGGGACTCCTGGCTAAGGTATTTAAAGGGACTCCAAGATGAGAGTATTTAAAGGGACTCCTAGCTGAGGATATTTAATGGAACTCCTAGCTGAGAATGTTTAAAGGTACTACTAGCTATGACTTTTTAAAGGAACTCCTAGCTGAGGGTATTTAAAGGGACTCCTAGTTGATCCAGGGGGGCTGAGTCCCAATAGCCCCTCCCCCTGAATACACACCTACTCAAGCTAGAATGACTTTCATCGATATTGAATTGATAAACGAATACTATGATAATATCCCTAAACCTTATTCAGTGAATATTTTGTATAAAAACATTATAAAATATACCTTGTGTTAGAGAACGGTGTAAAGCTTCTTTGTCTAGGACCCTAAACAATAAACATTAAACACGAATTTTATTCTTTCTGAGATTGACATTTTGTCACGTAAATAGTGATTCGTTTTTGGTTGGTTTTTAAGGGTTTTTGGACTTTAAAAAATCTAATAATTCTAACAAAATTTTAAATTGTTTCTTCTAAACTTTTGTTTTTCTTACACTATGTAAAATTTTGGCCCGGAGAGAAATTAAATGGGAAAAACGAGACAAAAAAACGATCGTTTTTCCTCTTTTAGTATACAAATATTGCAAACTTCAATAGAATACATTTTTGAAATGTTGGAAGTTTTATTAAACGTTTTTAAAAACGAACCAAAACGATTAACACTTAACGTTATATACAACTGTTGAAAATTTCATGAATAAAAAAAGTCATATTGAAATATATGCAGAACCCGCATGCTTCTGCCGACAATACTTTTATTGTATTGTAGTTTTAAATTTTCCGGTCTACCAATTATTTTTAAAATATTGAAAAAAAAATGTTAAAAAAAAGTTTTTTAAAAATGAACTGAAACCTGTAATTGTGGAGTAAATCTTGAATCCATAGTTTTCTGTTCAAACAAATCTTTGGTTTTTGTCACGGATCCTAAACATTTTATAAACTAAACAATGACAAAAATATGTCTATTATTGACAAAAAAAGGTAGTCATGGCCCATGGGTGAAACAGAATTTTAAGTTACAAAAGACTAGAGATTCATGGACAAACATGTTTTTGTATAAACATAAAACAGTGTGAAGTAAACGCCTACTCCATAACAATTTCTCGAAACGTATCTATCCAGGTAGAACTCAGATTCTCTTGACTGCAGTCAATGTCAACAGGGACATGTTTAATATATATCTGGGTATATTCATGTAAACAAATATGGGGATTTTTGTATTTATTGACCTAATCATTTGAAATGCAGTTCAAATGAATAATGGGTTTTACTTAGAAGTTTACAAACATAGATAATTAATAATCTCAAATTTTTAAAATCCTATACAGCCTTATGGTGTAAATCTTTGATATTTCAAAATTAGATTTTTTGATTTACCAGAATTAATAGTTTAAAATATCTAATGTCTATTAAATTGAGTTGGAAAGATTTAGAGGCTAGAAAATATGAGTTTGTGGCAAAGACTCAATGCCTGTAAAGTTTTAAACAAACTGGCTTCGAACTTCATAAGAGTAAACAGACTTTTATTTTACAAAATATACTTTATGAGCAGTATTAACTAAAATTCTTGATGCATATTTAATTCTTTGTATTCTTTAGTTGTCAAGTAGATTACAAAGCATATACCTTGATTTACTCCTGAGAAAGGGGTTTTACACCCAGTATTTTCCCTGTATTTTCCTAAACCCTAAAATTATATACATTTATGAAGGTTTACTGAAGTATTATTATTATTATTATTATTATAACCACCATTCAATATAACATTATAATTTTTTTATATATATCATTAGCTAGAGAAATACTAACTTTACATTTTTTTATAATAAAATTATTATTTTTGTTAGAATCAAAATCATTATTTTTTTACAGGTCAAAATCTGTCTAAGTTTATACCAACGAGGTTTTAGTATACTAATGTACAGGGTGTCCCAAGAAACATGACAGTTGGTGAATAATTTAAATGTCTTCTGACATAATTACTTAATTTCTTTAAACCCAAAAGAATAAGAATATTTAATAGTCATATTATAGTAAAATCTATGTTAATAAAAGATTTTATTGAACGAAAACAATGCAAATGTCTTTAATATCTATTACAGTATAGGGTAGAAGACATTCCAAATTATTTACCAACTGTCATGTGTCGTGGGACACCCTGTAGTTAACACTTAGCTTAGAAAAGTTTCTCCTGAGCCTCCTTATGTATCAAAAATGTTACTGAAAAAAACTGGACCCGCCTAACCAGTTTAGGTTGTTTTATTGGTTGCTAAAATATAGAAATGAAAACCCTACCGTATCATCCTGTAAAGAACTATTGTATATTCCTCCAATTGTCCTCTCGATCTCTTTCATTGTATTTCTAGTAGCCTCCATTTCCTACAATTATTTTTTAATATTCCAAAAATTAAGAAAACATTATAAAGGGATATTCAACAAAACTTTAGTAAAATTTTACCTTATTTAAAGATGAAAAAGTGTGTTTAGAATTTCTGAAAACCGGTTTCTCATTTTTCTCCATCTTTTAAAAAAATATATTAAACATTAATGTTCTAATTTAGAAAATCATCATAATTTGTCCAACCTTAAAATCCTCGAATATCTCCAACAATGGCTGCCGTGTAGTTGAAATGTCATCCTTTGTAGATGATATCACATCTCTTAAAATGTTAATTTTAGCAAAATATGGCCGCGGCCAGAGAAAATCTCTCAAAACAATGAAAAGACTAATAGTCAATTATTTTGTTCTCTAAAAAAGAAAAAGTCCCCTTATAGGGACTATAAGCATCATTTCAAGATGACCCTCCGTGCAAAGATAGCCATTGCCGATTCTCAAGGGTTCCCTTGAAACCGTAATCTGATTAAAATTGTGGAAGATACTGTCGTTTTTCTGACTCGATAAGTTTTTTTTTCTGTGGGCTTCTCCATTGCTTCTTGCCTCTTGCATATGTCATTTTTGCAAAAAAAACCCAAAAGAAAAAAAAACAGTTTAAAGAAACAAAAACATGGATATCTAATTCATACTTGATTAGACAAATCTTTCAATTATAGGTACTGTTGCAACTCGGGCATTGCCATCTTGAAACTAATTGTACTGTCCTTTAAATTCAATACGTGTGAGTTTTGAAAATTATAATTATTTGAAAACTGATGGGCCAATTACCTAAGGTTAAAAATATCTTCTTTGATATCTGAAATACTGTTTCTAACATTATCATAGTTAAATGCAGTATTGTCCTCTGCGCTACATCTCCGTGCCGCGTTCATTTCCCAAGACCCACGTATACTACCGGCAGTAGATCCACCTCGTGCGCTACCGGAAGTGCGTGGACAGGAGGAAGACGATGTACTCGAGAACTCAGGAAAACACTTAAAAAATTATTATAAAGTTTTTTTCAACATTTCAATAATTATTAAACAATCAAATTTTTAATAATAATTGTTTAACCTTGTAATCTGCTTCAGTAGGGGTTGGATTTATTCTAGACAGCATATCAGGAACCCGGCCTAGAAGCAAATATGTATAAATAGAATTTAAAACTTTACAATGTTTTTCAACAATATTTTTGCTTAAAAACTGTCGTCTTTTTCTTTCAAAAAAAATATTGCTGCCTAAAAACAACCCAATGCAATAAAGTTATATTTTTCCGATTATTAAATATAATTTTTCTTATTTTAGAAATAATTTGTCAATCTATTTTCTTGAAAATCTGTATGATTATTAAAATAATAATTTCTAACATTATTTTTAAATTTAACCTGTATATTTGTATGCATGGGTTTGTGCGCTAGGCATCTCCGAAGGGCGGGGAAGGCTGACAAAACGCCTTCGCCTTACGCTCTCAGGCGTAGCACTTGGCGTAGATAGGAAGGGGCGTTGGTTAGGGGGCTTAGGGTTACAGCTGAATACAGGGTTCTCCTAGAAAATTATGGATGCTCAAAATNCACATCTGTACCCTTTAAACATTTATCTGCTCAATAATGTGGAAGATATTGTCGTTTTCTAGATTGAAACGTGTTTAAATCTAATAATTTCTTTATGTTTTCGGCTTCCAAAATGAGAAATGCGCAAGTCACTTTTGTAAAAATTCTAATTCATATTTGATAATCTGTGAATCGGACGTTGTCTCTCTAGAATATCTTTCGAGTGGTTAAATAGGCTAAGATGTAATGCTAATGTGTATTTCAAAACATGTAAACAATCCCTTCAACTAAACTGATTTAAAGGGACTTAAAGCGTAATTTCAAGTGACTCTCTATGCAAAGATGCAAATACCCGATTCACAACTGCACCCTTAAAACCTTTATCTGGTTTAAGGGCAACATTGGGAATCGGGTGCCATCTTTAAATGGAGAGAAACTTGAAATTACGCTTACAGTCCCTTTAATGATTCACCTCTGTTCTGCCATGGAATTTGAGTAGATCTGGTGTTGTGGATGGTTTAGAGTGAGGAGGGGAGGAGGGGGGAGAGGTCTTAGGGTTGGGAGGGGAGGGTTTAGACAAGCTGGATAAAGTTAAAGAATTGGGTTGAAATTGAAGGTTTGCTCGGGGTAGAGTGTTGCTGTATTTGTCCCAGGGTCCTTTGTTGCATCTCACAGGTTCAGGGTTGGATAAATCTGAAGAAAAAACTTTGTAAAAATATCTTGAAAATTTAAGAAAATATATAATATAAACAAAAAAAATTTTAGAAATAAAAAATGCTTTTGACTATTTTGAAAAGATAAAGTGGATCATGACGACATAATTTGTATCCTATCATAGCATTATTTTACCTGGAGCTCTGACAAGGTTTGGATAAACAAGTTGATGATGTTTATGATCTCCTGGATGATGTTGATGATCATAATGACCTCCTGGATGAGATTGGTGATCTCCTGGATAAGGTTGGTGTTCTTGATGATCTCCAGGATGGGGTCCAGGTACATGTTCATCAACCCGGACACCGCCAGTAGTTCCTTCTCTTGGTACCTAAAATAATCAACTGTATTTCAAAATAAAATTATTTTTCTTAAAGTTAGCAATGTCCGATTCACAGTAGTCTGATCAAACGTGATATAAAAATCGATGTTTTAAATTTTAAAATTGGTTAATTTCAACCTTAGTACTGAATACCTGAACTATTGAATACCGTGTATAGTCCCTTTAAAGTACTGAATACATGAACTATTGAATACCGTGTATAGTCCCTTTAAAGTATTGAATGCATGAACTATTGAATACCGTGTATAGTCCCTTTAAAGTATTGAATACATGAACTATTGAATAAAGTGCATAGTCCCATTAAAGTACTGAATACCTGAACTATGGAATACCGTGTATAGTCCCTTTAAAGTTCTGAATACCTGAACTATGGAATACCGTGTATAGTCCCTTTAAAGTACTGAATTCTATTGAATAAAGAGAATAGTACCTGAACTATATGCTGTAAATGCTGTATATCTGGACACTGCTCTATCCGCTCCAGTAGTTCCTGATTAATACAAATAAAAATCGATGTTTTAAATTTTAAAATTGGTTAATTTCAAACTTAGTTTCTCTACAAAAGTGACTAGCGCATTTAAAGTACTGAATATCTCAACTCTTAAATAACGTGTAAAGTCCCTTAAAAGCCTTGAATACCTGAACTATTAAACACCGTGTATAGTCCCTTTAAAGTACTGAATACCTGAACTATTGAATAATGTGTATAGTCCCTTTAAAGTACTGAATACCTAAACTATTGAATACCGTTTATAGTCCCTTTAAAGTTCTGAATACCTGAACTATGGAATACCGTGTATAGTCCCTTTCTATTGAATAAAGAGAATAGTACCTGAACTATATGCTGTAAATGCTGTATATCTGGACACTGCTCTATCCGCTCCAGTAGTTCCTGATTAATACAAGGTGTTGACATTTTTTCTTTTTCTTTTAACATTTTTCTTGTAACGTTTAGAAATTGCAGTACAAGTCTTAATCTAAAGTATAGAAATATACTGCAGAGGTGTCGACGCATGTAGCAATGAAATATTGACGATTCTTGACCACACAAGTAAAAGAGATCTACAGAAAAAAATTTAATAGACAGAAAGAACAAATCTTAACAAAAAAAAATCAGATTTGTATGTTTTCAGAACAAGGGAGAATTTAAGATAATCCAAAGATGTTAAATGTCAAGAATTAGTTTTTCATTATCATAAATTTATTAATTGATATTGGTTCAATGATATCTTTAAAGGACAAAATCTAAATATTTTTTATCATTAAACATATTTATTATTATTTCTTTTACCTGTGTTGTAGAAAACCTGACTTGGGCTTCAACCTCATTCATCAAAAGATCCATATTCTAGAATATTCTCTTCTATATAATAAAGCTTTTCACTTATTTATATATATTTATACAAAGCTATGAATACCCTGAGGGTAACAGTAATAGGATAAAAAAATTCAAATTCACTTTTTTTTCAAAAATCTTTCTTTTAATCGATTATTTTTTTTCAACGGGCAACACCGGGCACTTTAGCTAGTAATCCATATTCTAGAATATTCTCTATTGATTCCATTCATTCAATATTCAATATATTCCACCCCATTCATCCTTTTATATATTCATTCCATCCTTGACTCATTCATTCAATATTCAATATATTCCACCCCATTCATCCTTTTATATATTCATCCCATCCTTGACTCATTCAATTAATATTCAATATATTCCACCCCCATTCATCATTTTATATATTCATTCCATAATTTACTGCAAACCAAAATGTGCACTCTCACGCAAATATTGAGCAGTATTTCGCCAATTACTCCATTTAAACTTAAGTTAATAACAAGCGGGTTGTATTTTTAAAATGTATATGTCTAGGGCTAGGAAAGGTATGAATGGGTTGTTAAGGTAAAACCAAAGGGCAAGGCTGTGTAAAAATTTGACAAACTTTCATAGTTGTCTATATCCTTGCCTTGACTCATTCNTATCGTTGCAACCTGATGGTGTAAACCTTTGATTTTAAAACTTGATTATTTGATATAACAGAAAGCATAGCTTGAAATATCAAAGGTAGCAAAGATATAGGGATTAGAAAATAAGAGTTTGTGGCAAAGACAATATTCCTTAGTTTTAGCTATTTCATAAAATATGAATATCTAAAAAGTTTTGTAAACTAAATAAAAAATTAAATGTTTAATTCTAATAACTCCTTCCTCCTCCCCGTCCCAACTCGTCTCTTAACCCGTTCACTTCGATTAAAATGTTTAAATTTCGAAGTTCGCATTTTGGTCTTTTCCTGGTAATGTTAATTTGTTATCAAAGATTGTAGAAAGAAAGGATGGAATTGTAAATTCTTCAATTTTCACGTTTTACCAAGATTTTTTCAAAATATTTTTGTTTAAATATTTGAAGTCACAGACATAATAACTTGTGGATTTCTACATCACAATAAAAGAAGAAACTGAGATTGGATTAACGTAAAGTACATTCATCCTAAATTTCATAATCCTTGCTCCTTGTTTAAGAACTGCACACAAGGGCGTGAATTTAACATTTTTTGTTCTTAATCCTGAGATCAGAAATATAACCATGGATACATGCAATACAGGCATTTCTATAATCAACGGATTTTCTTGGAATTAATAACAACGAATTCAATAAAAAAGGAGGAAAAGAAAAGAAGAAGATTAGAAAAATTTGGAAAAGCAAAGGTAGGTGAAACAAAAAAGTATTAGCTTTTTTTACAGAAATGTTTTAAATCAGTTATATTAATGTAATCTTTTTACCTTATTTCGAGCTGAGGTCGAAGGGGTTCTATATTTAACCTCATCTGAGTCTGGGGAACTAAGAGCCTAAATACAGGGAGAATAATTAAAAATCAAAATCAACATTTCTGGAAAACATTTGAAACAGTTTTAATGGCAAAGAGAAGATGTAATAAATTTAGTAATAACCTCCATATCTGGAAACTTGAACCTAAATGTATATATTACATTATAATCACCTTTTCGTATAATCAGTCATTTTTAATCTTTATCTCTACCTGATACTTAAATATAGTTTAGTTGGACATGAACTCTGTTTTATTTCGGTCAGACATATTAGTACAAACTCTGATTAATATCTTTTCATGCTTGTAAGATACTAAAAAGTTCGAGAGAGTTGTATCTGGATTGATACATACTTAAGAATACAGATAGAGTTGTATCTGGATTGATACATACGACTAAAGTATTGTTGGAGAGTATAGAGTTGGAGAGCGAGTTGTGTATTGTTTGATACATACTTAAGAATTCAGAGAGAGTTGTATCTGGTTAAATACATACTTAAGAATCCAGGAAGAGTTGTATCTGGATTGATAAAGACTAAAGTATTGTTGGAGAGTATAGAGAACGAGAGCGAGTTGTGTATTGTTTGATACATACTTAAGAATACAGATAGAGTTGTATCTGGATTGATACAGACTAAAGTATTGTTGGAGAGTATAGAGTTGGAGAGCGAGTTGTGTATTGTTTGATACATACTTAAGAATTCAGAGAGAGTTGTATCTGGATAAATACATACTTAAGAATACAGATAGAGTTGTATCTGGATTGATACAGACTTAAGTATTGTTGGAGAGTATAGAGTTGGAGAGCGAGTTGTGTATTGTTTGATACATACTTAAGAATTCAGAGAAAGTTGTATCTGGTTAAATACATACTTAAGAATCCAGGAAGAGTTGTATCTGGATTGATAAAGACTAAAGTATTGTTGGAGAGTATAGAGAACGAGAGCGAGTTGTGTATTGTTTGATACATACTTAAGAATACAGGAAGAGATGTATCTGGATTGATACAGACTAAAGTATTATTGGAGTAAGGCATTTAGTACAAATGTAACACAAAAGAAATCATATCTAAAGGGACTGTACACGTAATTTCAATTGAATAAGTTAATTTCATGGCCTTTTGAATGCATGAGGTTTTTAAATGAAAGGTACAGGGTTACTCACAAAGTATGAGACTTCAGAGACGGAATTTATACTGTCTGTTTCCTTATATTAATAACTCCCTGCAACTGTAAACATGTTTCGCAAGACATGTACATTGTACAATATATGTACATTGTACACGACATGTACATTGTAAAAGACATGTACATTGTACAAGACATGTACATTGTACAAGACATGTACATTGTACAAGACATGTACATCGTACAAGAAATGACATTGTACAAGAAATGTACATTGTACAAGACATGTGCATTGTGCAGACATGTACATTGTACAAGTCATGAACATTGTACAAGACATGTACATTGTACAAGACATGTACATTGTACAAGACATGTACATTGTACAGACCATGTACATTAAAAGACATGTACCTGAATTGAAGCAAGTAGGTTTTGCATCTCTCTAGAAATTGTACTGGACACCTGATCACTGAAAAACAGAATTTTAAAAAAAATTATAACTTTTCTCTAAATAGTATTTCCTATTATAATTAATCAATTATGTTCTCCACATCATGATTTAAATAATTCCCATTAGACATTTATAGGAACATAAACATGCTGTTAAAAATATATTAACATATTTAAAGGGAGTGTTTAGTAAATTTTAAATGCAATACAAATAAATTTGACTTGAAATAAATGCTTCTTCAAGAATCTTTTTTAGAAACCATTTGCAAAAATATGTAATGAAAATCATTGTAAAGAAAATTAGCTTGTTCTTTTTAAAGAGAATGTTCTTGAGAGACTTTTTATCAATTTCTCTGAAAACTTCAAATCGACATAAAAATAGCAGCAATAAAATGAGTGATTTTAAAAAGTGTGGTTGATCAGAATCAGAAATAAAAACCTTCCAAATTTTTGTTTTGGAAATTTCCTAGAGAACGATTTTTGGACCCCGTACCCTCCTATCATTTNACATGTGGCCGTAGCGCGCGGCCCCCTGGCCTGTCCTAGCTGCAGCGCTCGGAAGGCCTGTCCTAGCCACGGCGCTCGGCCCCAAACCCTGTCCTAGCCGCAGCGCTCTTCCCCAACCCCTGTCCTAGCCGCAGCGCTCGGCCCAGAAATTTTTTTAAACCGACCTAACCCAAAATAATGCAAAATCTAGGACAGGACCCTTAGTATTACCTTTTTCGTCGTCTTGGACTATCTCCAGATATTTCCGTTTCCGGTTGTTCAAAAGTCTCTGTTCTTCCAGGACGAACATGAGCTGACGGTCTGGCATGAACCGAATGACGCGTAGGAGGGGTAGGACGAGCAGGGGAGATGGGACGAGTAGGACGATGTAGTTGAGTTTCTCCAGGTTGAGAGGGATTAGAGGAGCGGAAAGGAGGAGGATTTCTGGTAGCGAGTAATCCTGATCCGATAGGTTCCATAAGATTGGACTCAGGAGGATCCTCAGAATAGATTGGCATAGATCGGAGGGGATCGGAGGGATTTTTAGGGGATGGGAGTTTGGGTGGAGGGAGTAGAGAGGGGGCTACTGGGGGTGGTTGGTAGAGTAAGGAGGGGGGTTTTATTGAAGGAGAACCAAATGGAAGTTTAATGGAAGCGTCTTTATTTGGTTCTTGGTAGAAAATCTGAACATTGTATGTAATAATAATAATAATAATAATAGTAATAATAATAATCATAATAAACTTTGGCATCAGATTTTGATTCTGATATCTGTGGTGGAGGGGGTCTAGGGGGAGGTATGGTATCACAAGAGCTAAGAGTTCTATTTAAACTCCCCTGGTTCATGTTTCCACAAACTCTCAGATGAGAGTTTTTAGCTAAAAACTCTGTCCAATAGGAATCTCTATTCCCCGCACTAAATGAAAATATCTCTTATTTTCATAAACCATTTTACAATTAACGAACAACCAAATTAGTAAAATGGGACCTAATATAAAACTATGGAATTGAAAGACGACATTTATGCAATGCTATGTCACGTGTATTTGATGTTGTTATAAAGTAAATAATTTACCACTGCAGCAGCTTGAACTTTTAAAGTGAAATAACTGTTTTGTGAAAAATTGCACAGTTGCTTTTTTCATATTCATTGGACTGTTTAATTAATAGAGCCTGACAAGTCGTCTTTCTAGTCCAAAAAAAAAATCAAGAAAGGAATAATAGGGTATACTACTAACCTGAGTAGGGTATACTACTAACCTGAGTAGGGTATACTACTAACCTGAGTAGGGTATACTACTAACCTGAGTAGGGTAGGGGTATCCTGTGGTAGGGTAGATGAAGGAGGTGTATACTCTGCTTTATAGAATATTCCACTGCTCTCGGAGGGAAGGCTGGAGGATTCTGTAGATTCTAAACAGAACATTTTTTCCGGGATTTTAGAATAAAAGGTTTGTTACAATTTAAACCATAAAAGTAAGGAAAAGGCTGGAGACAGCTATTTGAACAGGTCCAATTTATATAAAACACTGCAATTTTCAAGCCACGTCCACGGGTAAAACTGTTTGCTTTAAAACAATATTAAAAATACATAAGATTGCCTAAGTGTCATCTACACAGTTTCCTGGGTCCATTGTATGATTTACCTGAGGCATCATTTTCCCCCTCTGATTCTTCATTTTCCTCCTGTAGCTGCGTAGAACATAAACTTGTCCCTACAGTCTGCGTAGAGTCTATATATGATGAATTGTTGTCCCAACCCTGAGAAGGTCGTTCAAATCCTGACTCTACGGTGTACGTCTTACAGACACCCTAAATATAAAGATATTCAAGTTTAAAATTCCAATATTTAGAGGACTTTAAACGTTATTTTAAGGAATCCTCCAAGGTGAAGAGGGGGCACGTACAATACACAACGGTACCCTTTATACTTTTGTCAGAGAAAAAATGATGAAGTTATTCCTATTCATCTTCTAAAAACTGAGTATTTTCAAATCGGGTTTCTCTATAAAACTGATTCAATCTTTTTTAATTATAATTGATCAGATAAAGGTTTAAAGGGTACCGTCGAAGATCGGACATAGCCCTTTTTTTTAAAATGGATTGTCACTTGAAATTACAAAGACAGTTCCTTTAACCGATGAGCCAAGATTTTGATCTTTTATCCTGAAACCTAAGCCTCCCAGCGTCCACTTAGCTGAAGAAATCGTGCAGTCTCAAAAATAAAATGTTTTGCAAGACCAGAAATTATCTGACCCAGAAAGTGTTATTATTACCTTTACTCACTCATAATATAGGTAAACAATATCTTTGAAAAATGAGGTTGCGTGATTTTATATTTTATACTATTTTGTAATGATATTTTATAACCTGAGACAAAAAAGTTTTTTTTATCAATTTCAGAAATTATTAGAATTAAAGCATTTAGCTTGATTAATATTGGCTGGTTCAATTCACAAAACTTTTTACTTGATTTTCAATCAAAATTTTCTATCATATTTCTGGAAGATACATTGTATTTGTAATTTGTATATGATATGACATGAAAATTCTCGAAAACTTTTTAAAAAAGTTAAATTTCACATATTTTGCCAATGCATGATTGTTCTCAAAAAATGAAAACGGGTACAGGATCTATTATAAAATGGGAATCATCAACCACTTGTTTCATTTCTATCAGAAATTTCTAAAAAAAGACAATTAAATGTAACAGACCCAAAGAGGCTGATACTTGCACTTTCGTGCTAGTCAGCTCGGACAGATTATTTACACACTCTAAATTTCGAAATAAATAACTGGCTTACTTGGCAATTATCCCATTTGTTGAATATTAGTGATCTTCTCTTATTTGGCATTTTACTGCCATATTTTAATTTCGAAATTTAGAGTGCATAATTTTAAAGAAGCATGGGGTATTTACTTTCACCTTTTCCCCTTTCATTTTTAGCGAACGCTCTCTTTAATAAGTGACTCAAATCTACCTTTATAACATCTGGAAGAGGAAGCAAAGCTCTGCTCTCAGAAAAACTCTCCTGGACCAAACTTTGACAGGATTCTAAAACATTAAATTCCTCAACGTGTTAGGGTTTCCAGGTATATATATATACAGAGAGAACCAGAAAATTATGGATTAAGAAATCGCTTTTAGACAAAAGTTAAAACTTTAAATAGTCCAATGAACATTGAACAATGTGCAGTGCACACAGACCCATTTAACATAGTAACTGATCTTACTTGTAACAAAAAAATTTTTTTTTTAACTATTCAGTATTGCTATAATTTTGCTTTTTTGTTTTCTGGTTCTCACTATAAGAATAATGATTGTTTAAGAAAAGCGTCTAATCATGTAATCACAGTCCTTTTGTATTTTAATAACATTTATCTCAATTTTTGTTTTCAATAATAGACTTTGGAAATTATTTTTTTATTCAATGGTAAGAAAAAGACACATGTTTTAGATGATTCGAAATAAAGTCAAATAATATATTTTTGGGCATCAGAATTTTTATCAAAAATTTGATAGGGATTTATTGAACGGTTTGTCATTCTCATATCTACTAATAATTAAAAAATATATTTTAAAAGTATCTTGAAACATCATTTTAAAATTTCCTCCTGATTCTAAAAGTTGATTTTGATAACCGTTTACCCACACTTTTTAAAAATAAAGGTGCAGACTTGCATGCATGCATGGATTTGAAATATTGATTCCAAATTTGGATCAAAGATATAAATATACATTTCCGTGTTAAAACACTAGTATCCACCTGGGCTTTACATATTGGATTTAAACCTTCTATTTGATTTAAACCTTCAGATTTGATATTTTACATTTAAAAAATTCATTCATTTTAAGAAATTGATTTAAATATAATTTGATAATGAATCATTAATATCGAATTTGTATAATTGTAAGACTTTAAGGGTCTGAAATCTTAATTTCAAGTAATCCTTTATTTAAAAGAGTGGCGTATCCGATTGACCCTTTGAACCGTTGTCTGATAATCGACGGCGAAGAACTCAAGGCAAATTTCTCAAAAAGCACAAAATTCTATGTTAAAATTTGAGTGACTCTCGAAAGACAATAATGTTATTTCTTTAAATTAAGTAACATCTTTCATACAAAGTTATCAACAACAAGCGTTTCTACGGATAAAATAAGGATAGCTCCATCATCCTTCATCAGTTAAAGAACCCTTGTAAATAGAATATTCCACTCTTCAAATACAGGGTCACTTGAAATTATTTCTCCAATCTCTCTATGTTCAGTGTTCACCTGTATCAGTGTGTTCATGTGTATCCTGAGATAAATCTTGACTCGTCTTAATACCTTCATTCTCTCTATCTTCTGCCACTGCCAGGCGGGCACAAGATTCATCAATAAATTTAATATCTTCTCTTTGCTCTGTCAAATCTTCGTCGATACGATCAACATGATCTTCAACAGCAGTTGTAGCTGCATCTGATTCTGTGTTCGCACAATCTTCGATTACATCTTTGGTATTCTCCTCTCTTTCTTTAATACTGATAGGGTTAACGTCCTGTGTTTGTCCTTTGGCCTCTTGATTTTGTCCTGTGTCCTCTTCTAAAAGTCCTGGTTCCTGATCTTTTTGTTCTTCATCTTCATCTAGTAGAATCATGTCCTCGTCTAGATATTCTTCACCAAAATCTCTGAAATTATATTATTCGTATAATTTTTTCTTTTTAACATTTAACATGTTTTGTTGGTTTGAATTTATTTTATTTACTTAATTTACAAAAACTTCAGAGTTTCTTGCGCCTAAATCATGTAAATTTTGTTCGTGATGTACTTTTTTTTTGCTTGATGCACTTGATGTACTTGATTTATATGATGTGCTGGATGTACCTGATGTACTTGATGTACTTGATGTACTTGATGTACTGGATGTACTTGATGTACTTGATGTACTTGATGTACTGGATGTACTTGATGTACTTGATGTACTTTAAGTGCTTTATCTACTTAATGTATTTAATGTACATTTGAAATGCCGCTTATTTAAAACTACATGGTTAAGTCAATGAAAACGGAACTTGTAATGCATGCAATGTAGTTTATGTACTGCAATGTAGTTTATGTACTGCAATGTAGTTTATGTACTGCAATGTAGTTTATGTACTGCAATGTAGTTTTTGTACTGCAATGTAGTTTATGTACTGCAATGTAGTTAATGTATTGCCATGTAGTTTATGTACTGCCATGTAGTTTATGCACTGCAATGTAGTTTATGTACTGCAATGTAGTTTATGTACTGTAATGAAGTTAATGTATTGCCATGTAGTTTATGTACTGCAATGTAGTTTATGTACTGCAATGTAGTTTATGTACTACAATGAAGTTAATGTATTGCCATGTAGTTTATGTACTGCCATGTAGTTTATGCACTGCAATGTAGTTTATGTACTGCAATGTAGTTTATGTACTGCAATGTAGTTTATGTACTGCAATGATGTTAATGTATTGCCATGTAGTTTATGTACTGCGATGTAGTTTATGTACTGCAATGTAGTTTATGTACTACAATGAAGTTAATGTATTGCCATGTAGTTTATGTACTGCCATGTAGTTTATGTACTGCAATGTAGTTTATGTACTGCAATGTAGTCTTATGTACTGCAATGTAGTTTATGTAATGCAATGAAGTCAATGTATTGACATGTTGTTTATGTACTGCAATGTAGTTTATAAACTGCACTGAAGTTAATGCACTGCAATGAAGTTAATGTATTGCAATATAGTTTATGCACTGCAATGTAGTTAATGTACTGCAATGTAGTTAATGTACTGCAATGTAGTTAATGTACTGCAATGTAGTTAATGTACTGCAATGTAGTTAATGTACTGCAATGTAGTTAAAGTACTGCAATGTAGTTAATGTACTACAATGAAGTTAATGTATGCAATGTTTACCTAGTTGAACTACACCTCTCCATCTCTCCTAATATATCTCGCAAAGATTCGCAGCTCTCTGCAAATCCATCCGGGCTCAATCTTAAAAATAAAAATATTTTTAAAATGACTACTGGCGGAATTTATCGTGGCCCTGTATCTTTAGAGTCACGTGCACAATTCAAAACGATAATTATTCATACCGTTAAGCCTTTTTCTAAGTAAAATGATATAATTATCTTTGTTTTCCTTACTGAAAATTGATTGTTTTCATTTGCGATTTCTCTATTGCAGATTTTTGCAGTAGCATCAGGAATTGATTTCTTTTTTAGATGGGAAAACGAAAATATCTTTCACACTGTTACTCAAATAATGGAAACTGATATGAATCAGGTAGGTAAGAGACATTCTGTGACTGAAGGGTCACTTTTAATTACGTCAATGGAAATAATAATAACGGTCCGTTAAGTATTATAATTATTCTCATGTTTTGTGAATCCAACTGCACAAATAGTAAATGAGCATAATCTTCCTTGTGTTAAAGGTTACCCCCCGCCGCCTCCCCTTCGCCGTANGGAGAGACTACAGTTCGAATATAATTATTATTTACCTTCCCTTCTCCTGTCTATCTGGTACTAGATCTGGTAAGGAGAGACTACAGTTCGAATATTATTATTATTTACCTTCCCTTCTCCTGTCTATCTGGTACTAGATCTGGTAAGGAGAGACTACAGTTCGAATGCTTGCTCTCATAAATCTGTTCTGCTCGCAGCAGAATATCACTTAAAAGATAAATAACATTTAGAAAATATATAGAATTCATCTTCGGGGTTTTAATGCAGGGTTACCCACAACGAATAAGAGTTTTTAATTCCTTGTTCTCATTGTTTTCAATTTCTGAAAATTATAAGAAAAAAAGTGTCACCTCACCCTTTGTGCGTAACCATATGAATATGTAAAAAATAAATATAAATACCCTGTATGACGAATAAGACTAATATTTACCTTGCTGTTATAAGCGGCGTTTTAGGTCGCTTCACTAACCCTATATATTCAATAGAATCCTCAGCTAAACTGGATTTGTCCGCTAAATCAACATTTTCCTCCAATCCCCGTTTCCTATCCGTATCACCTCTCTTTACCTAAACGCAAATAGAATTGTTTTTTAGAAAAAAAAATAAAAAACTTTGTTAAGTTTTATCTATGAGTTTTATTTTGTTTCTGGACACACCTGTAGTTTGCTATCTTTTACAGATTCCAATTCCGAATTTTCTTCTCGGTCCACCATTTTCGAGCATCCATCTTGATTTTTCAAATCTGACATTTCCGCCTCTCCTTCCTCTTCAGTGGAGAAGAAACTGTGGCATTCGCGCATTCAATATTCAATTATTATTATTATTGAAAACGTTTTTACACAGGACTGAATTTAAAATATACAGTGAGAACCAGAAAAATGTGGAATAGGAAGACGACATAAAAGCACTTCTTCAGTTTGTTAAAAGCAAACAGTTTTACTGGCAACCTATAAAATTACTAATTAAGTGAAATGGGTCTGTTTTCAATGCAAAATTACTATGTCTCATTTTTATTGGACTATTTATAATCATAACTTGAGCCTAAAAGTCGTCTTCCTATTCGTGAGTTTTCTGGTTCTCACTGTATGTAAGAGCACATTGTAATTTCTTGTAGATAAATTATTTTCATCGAAATTCTTTTTTAGCAAGATTTTTACATTTTATTTTGCCATAATGTTAGAATGCTCCAAATTTGAGACGCCAGTTGAACCAACTCATCAGTCAACTGTTTAGACTTAAGCTCAGAATTTATGACTTCAGGCTCTTTTCAGATTCGTGAACTTCTTATATTAAAAGGTTAAAATACTTGTTGAAACCATAATAATACAGATCTTATTTTTACATAAAGTTTCTAAATAAGGTGCTTCTATTTCCAGGCTCGGAGTTAGTTATCAGATCTGAATTATGCTTT